TAATTTTATTGTGGTGAGAAGACCTATTCCCCCAAAACCCCAAAACCCCGCATTTATACATAACTTATCAAAATTTGAGAAATATAAACCATGAATTTAAAAAATTTCTCTCTAAGTCAACCATCTTAGCGGTTTTAAGACACAGGAGTATCTCTGATTTTGAAATTCGCATGAGATGTAATTTACTTTAAAGGGAGGATTGGATTGGTTGCTTAAGTCATTAGTACAGAGTCTAGACCCTTAATGATGCTATTACTAAGTCCTCCATTCAAAAGGTTAGTTCTATTTCTTAATGGACTTGAAGGCTGGCTCATCATTTGAAGTTTTCTTTTATGCTCTAGCCTTAGATTATTTTGCATCAATGAGATCTTTACTAATTAAGCTTTCTAATCCTTCAGCTTTTGATTAGTTGCGTCAATTTCCTGCTATCTTTTCATAATACTGCTACTATACAAATTCTAATAAGCTCTTTATTTAGAGACATTTCGTCTGTATATAGAAAACCATTCGTCATTAATTGCCTTTTTTACCAATGAGGATACTTAAGTTTATTGCTTACATTTTTCTATCTACTTATCTATTCTCTTATGAAATTGATTGACTATTTTATCTAGTTTTTAATCTCTTTCTTAATTCCTAGCAGAAGATAGCTATTAGTTTTTCTCATACATTTAGAGAGCTTTCATTCTGAAATAGTTTGACCTCTATCTAAGGTTATCCTAATTTTTCTTTTATTTCTGCATGATTTTGTGGTCCTTTAAAAGTAATGAATTCCATCTTTATAGCTTCTCATTATTCATCTTAGCAAGATAACTATTCCGAAGATCCTATACTTTATCATAATGTTCTTTGGCTTTACCAGCTATCTAACTTTGAGAAAGAACTCTCCTATCCAGAACTCTTTTCTATCTCTCTTTTATTATTTCAAGTCTATGGCTTATTACAAATTCATCATTTTCTAAAAATGTAGCATTAGATACATTATTAGCAGATAGATAAGATCTTTCGTGATTTGATGCTGAGATTTGAGAGTTATTTCTTATTCTAGCCATAGATTGATCATTCTTATGATTGTGATTCTAATCAATAAGTTGCAGCTTGCTTTAATGGTGAGGATTTGCACCATCAATCAAACTATTTTATTTCTTTTTTATTACACTTTCTTAATAATCTCTATAGGACTCTTACTCCATATTTTCATATAGTTTCTCCTTTAATGACTTAACTTTTTCTCTTTTTATTTATTGCGATCTATTTGTTCTCCTCCTCATCATTTCCTCCTCTTTAAATTTCATGTCAATTTTTTTAAGTTTCTTTTGATACTTTGCTAATTTGTCTTAATATCTTTATCTGCTAACACTTTCTCTATAACTAGCATTTTCTTGAATTTAAAGCCATCTAGCAAATTTATTTCTTTCTGTGGATATATTCTGCTGGAAATTGATATCTGTCATATTAAGTTTATCAATAGGTTTATGTGGGGTATCACCGATATTACTCATTTTAAATTTTTAATCTTAACTCTTTAAGTGAAAAGAACCCTTGGATTAATCGAATGATTCCATAAATTTTCTATCCTCAAGAATGTTCTTTTTCAATTTTTGCTTTTCATTCACCAGGTCCATATGAGGAGGTGGAATTCTTTTATCAGTTAAGAAGAAATCTGCATTGGTGCTTGATAAGTTTTATGGACTAAATAAGTTTCTTTTGTAAACAACTAAGATTTAAATGTTATTCAAAGAAAAACATTACCTGCTGTCAATTTATCATAAGACTTATCTACAATTTTTGTCTTCTTTTTGGCATGTTCTTTCAATTTGATGTAGAGCTACTTCAATTTTGTAACTCTCTTCTTCTAGTAAAAATCATATCTCGCCTTCCATATATCTTCAACTTCGCCTTTGAACTTAAATGATTCCAATGGTCTAAATTTTGTTTTTTTAAAGATTAAAATGAGTACTTATCTTCTATTTCCAAATAGTCGATATTTGCATCTCGCAATATATTTTCTCCTTTCTCTGTTAATTGACCATTCTCTAAGATTCCATTATTAAAAGATAATTTGAACTATACTGTCATAAAGGTGTTTCTGAATTAGAATGAGCTCACTAGCAGTTAATTATTAAACCATTAAATTGGCTCTTTATTTATTTATTTAGATTATTATACATGAATGAACACTACATTATAAAAATTACTTAAAAAAGTATTTTCCTTTTCTAATTCGATTTTTACTAATTCATCTTCTTGGGGTTTTGGGGTTTTGGGGTTTTGGGG